CTAAATATTTATGAAGTCATTAGCAGTTGAATACAATCGGCTAATCAACAATCAAAGTGACATAATTTAAGTACTGTTCAATGTTATTCCATTGGCCATTGTGAAATTTATAAATATGAAGGAATTGCCTTTGTTGCACCAAGATTATTAGAGCCCCCCCCCCTCCCCCCAATAGTTTTGCTTTTCATTCTAGGGAAAAATAAATGTGGTGACATGGTTTTATTTTTATTTTTTTGTATCACGAATATACCACAACCATATAATATATATGTATTCAATATTTCACTTTTATTGAATAATGCTTTTGAGAACATACAGTAAATGTTGATTTTTTGGAGCAACAAAAGATCCTCTGAAACAGAAAACAAACATGCATACAGGTTTCAATCTGTCAAGTTACAATGAGAAGCAAAACCTCAGTAAAATGGTTTTCTTTAATAATAGCCAGTTTTGTAGTACGATTGGTTATTAAACATCCTTTCTTAAAAATACATGTTGTGTTATGACCTATATAAAATCATCTACTGCAGGATGCGGACGATTTACGCTTTGATTTCTACATTGAACTAACTTCCAATGAGCTGACAACGTTGAAGAAGTTTATTGATCATGATGACGGCAATATCCATGATGTCCGTGATATTCTAGTACATATGATACAACATATACAACGTAGTGACCGGTCATTCAATGTATATCGGGTATATATAGAAGAAATGTTTAACACTCAGTTGGAGACGTTGCTGATCTATGTGGCTTTTGTAAGTACATGTAAACTCATTACTTATAGTATTTTGCTTTGAGCTTTGAATAATATTCCTGTGAAAAAACATTATTAGGTAAAAATTCTAATAGGAAATTTTGATCAATGAAATAAAATATGAATTATACAAGGCAAAATATTAATAAAGCAACAGTTGTGATACCATATGTTGAAGAGACTGACTGACTGGAGTTTCATAAGAGTGCAAACGAGACTGCATGGAGACTGTCAGCTTTAATGCTGTACTAAGTATAAATGGTTTATTTGTTACAGGTAAGCACACTTGTTGCTTGTTGTTTTGCTGTGGTAACCATGGAAATAAGAACTAATATTAATTGGTATAGACAGATCTTCAAAGCACTGGTGCTATTATTTTTCATCAGTATACCTTGGAATTGGTTTCTTATGTATAAGGTACTGTACCCTTTGTGAATCATTTTTATGTACTTTTCTGTAATTTCTTTATTAAATTTTGGTGCTTGAATGTTAGTAAATGTGATAATGAAAACAGAAAACAATAAATAGCAGTCATTTCCCATAATTCATCTTGAGATATTTAACCTTTTCACTACCAGACTTTCTCGCCCAAATTTTTCTGCACTTTTTTTTTTATATTCTTCAATATTTCTAGATTTTTGGAGCTAACAATTATCAGTTTTTACCAGAAAAAAATTGGCTATTTTTGTCCCAATTTTTTGAAGGAAATTGCAGACTAGAAAAAACTATTTTGTGAATTTGTGATGAAAAGAAGGACCTGGTGGTGAAAAGGTTACAAGCACATCATTTGATTTGTCATTTAAAAGATTGTGGTCACTGACTTGTGTTGTGTTCAATACAGGTTTCATTTAACGTACACAAAGAATGTGAAATACATTGTCTGTTATCACAGAATATGAATGCACACTTTCCAGGTTTTGACACTGAATGCCATCTATGACTGAATTATTTGTTGTGCCATTCAAAGTCTGGAAAATATTGCCATTTTTGGTACTTTCTGTCAAATGTTGATTCTTGAATGCTTCACATGGGCACAGACCATCATGGCATTGTAATGAGTGCTGTATTGAAGGTATCAGCAAAATTTATACGAATCATGATTTTAAATTAAAACTAAATTTACTATGCTATTGTTTTGTAGAAAGAGGTTGCTAACAAACAATCCACTGTAATGAAGGATATACCAGAACACTGCAGAGCAGGTGATAAGTCAGTGTTTGGTGCTATGATGTCATTGTATAGATCAGCCTTCTCGTTTGATTCCAATCCATGCGCCATGTACCATGAAGCAGTTTTGATCGACCCACTATGGGAAGTCGCACCATCTCAGGTAATATCGTCAACGTCAACTTTATGATGTAACTTACAGTGAGTTAGGGTATATAATATTGTATGGTGTTTGTGCAAATCAAGAAAATTTCACACATGACCAAAACAATCATCAATTTTGATTTGTTTTAGTTTTAAATTGTGTGCAATGAAATACATTACCTTTTTCACTGTATTTTACTGCATATTTGCATTTCTTTGTAAAAAAAAATTTGTAAAATGGGGCAATGAGGTAATTTTCTTTTCTTTTCTGATGACTCTCAAATTGTTTTAATTAACTCATAAGATATTGTACATAAACGATACTTGTTATCTTTGTATTGTATATAAAGGTATTATTTGAGTGGGATAATATTTTAAATGTGTGGATTTGGCAACACAGTTTTAATTGCTTGTTTTTACAGTATGTAGTTATAGCCGGTAATATTTATTTTGCAGGCGATTGCAGTGACAGTCAGCAAGTTTGTCTTCAAACCACTAGAGCTCTTTGGAGAAGCATTTGGTAAATTTTTCAACAGTTTTTTCAAGGATCTACCGATGCATGTGTGGCCCATCGCTACTGTTCTCCTTGTTCTATTTGTGGTTATATTGCTCATAATGATGTTTGGCTACAGCATAAAGTTTCCATTCCTTGGTGGAATAGAAGCACCTGATACTAGATTAGTCAGAGAACAACGTCAAGCACTGGAAGACAATAGAGCTAGGGTATGTATAATCTTTTATTTTTTGAATTACCGGTACACAAATAAGTATGATGCTGGAAATATTTAAAAAGTCAGTTTGTAGGATTGAATTTGATGTTCCTGAGAGAAAACTGATGATGATGAATTAATTTCTTAAAACTACATACTACTACATGTACTGCATTTATCTGAAAGATACTAGATAATAAATTTTTATAATGGGTCATATTTTGGGAAATCAACGAAACCAGAACAACAACAACAAAGATTTAAATTAGTGTCATTGTAATTTGCACTTTGAGCAAAGTGTAGTATGAAAATTGTTGTTATCAAGGGAATTTTTAAAAAAATAATGTGTTTTAAAATATAACATCTAATTATGTATGTATCACCTTACATCACCGGTGATCTCTGTTATATGATGATGTGTATTCTATTTCAAAAATGCACATGGATTTTAATTATAACCAAAAAAATGTTCATTCACGTAGCGCCAAAGACTGAAGGTAGTAATAACTCAAACTCCTTGCTTGCTTGACACATTTAGTTATACATTATGAATTTCCATAGCAGCATCATATTTCCTAACCAGTTTCTAACTTGGCGAACGTATTCAAACTTGATATTGATATTTGTTTTTTCAAATATTTTTTTTTTACATTTCTAAACATAATTCCTGGTCATGTTTGTGATCATTGTTATGCTAATATCATATCGTTATGAAATCCCAAACAAGACATGGTCAAAGATGAGCTACAAACAAAAGTCTTACATCTTTAATGTACTTTTAATGACATGGTTTTAAACAATAATCATTACAGAAGAATAATTTATAAATTGAAGTTCATCATGGCAAATAAAAGTGATATAATTTCTTCTTGTCAAACATCAATGAAATTGGCCACTGGAGACTAGCAATTGGTCGCCAAAACCCAGTGTTTGTTAACTTTTAACATAAGGCATGCACTTTTCCATTCTCAGTATGGTCATGTACATTCATTTATTCACGATATACCGGTAATGTACACAAGATGGTTATGGTCATAATAGTATGGCGGGCACTGTATGTGTATGTCCAGCAAACAAACTGGCTCATATCCACAACATCATTCTGTTCTGGTGTTTACTTATAAAGATTTTCTGCTGCCTTTCATTCATTTGTATTTAACTGTGATATCTTTTTATTTGGCCTGTTGCTTTGTATAAATAAATTAATGGCTAAATTGTGTCTTTGTTGTAGATCACTGAGCGCGACCGTGAAATAGAAAGACTTCAGCAACAACTACGAGCCATAGAAGAACGGCAGTTATTAGAAATAGCTCCTCCCATGGAGCGTCAAGCACTAGAAGACAATAGAGCTAGGGTATGTATAATCGTTTATTTTTTAAATTACACAAATAAGTATGATGCTGGAGATATTGAAAAAGTCAGTTTTTAGGATTGAAATTAATGTTCCTGAGATAAAAGGGATGATGAAATAATTTTTTTTTTTAAACTACATACTATTACATTCATCTGAAAGATACTAGTTAATACATTTTGATAATGGGCCATATTTTGGGAAAACAACAGAACCAAAACATCACCCAGGGTGATATTTTGGCACTTTTTTCTCCACTGAACTGTTCGTTCAATTAATAATTTTCATGTCCACGTCCGGCATCAACACAGATCAGCTAGTTCAATCGTAGATACTTAAACTCGATACCATACAAATTCGTGCACCAGATATATATTTGAAAAAACAACAACAACAAAGATTTAAATTAGTGTCATTGTAATTTGCACTTTGAGCAAAATGTAGTATGAAAATTGTTATTATCAAGGGAATTTTTAAAAAAACTAATGTGTTTTAAAATATAACATCTAATTATGTATGTATCACCTTACATCTCCGGTGATCCCTGTTGTAGATCATATCAGTGACAATTTCAACAAAAAGTCCTCTTCATTTCTTTTTACTCACATTATAAACTTAAATAAAGCCATGTTGGCAGGAAAAAAGTGCCTTAAAGCATTGCATATAGATCAGAATATTTTCTCAATCAACACAGATTGAATTACACGTAGAAATCATTGTTCTGATAGCTTTAATGACTTGAAAGTTCATTGCTACAATACATGGATGCCATGAGTGACCCAATGTGTGAATTCATGTCTTTGATTGGTTAGCTGCTTGACCTTGTATTAGTATAAGCTTGCCATACTGACCTGAGATTGACAAACCTCTAAATTGTGTAATTTTGAATTTCTGATGGGCGATCTTTTGTGGTGAGCGATCTTAGTTATACCAAAGGTAGAATGAGAGAAGGATTGATTTGTAAAGTCATGTCTGACATGTGAAGATCTTGAAATCACGTCATGTGAAGTCACACAAATTGTGAGAGTTCATACAATTACAGTGTGATAAAATCAATTTTCTATAATACCGTATTTGCTCTATTAAAAGCGCATTCTCTATAGTAAATCAATAGTTGTTTTTATTGTATACAATATGAGTATTTTGAAACACTTGTAATCTACGTAGCTATGCATTATTAATAGAGCAAATATGATGTGTATTCTATTTCAAAGATGCACATGCATTAATTATAACCAAAAAAATGTTCATTCACGTAGCGCCAAAGACTGAAGGTAGTAATAACTCAAACTCCTTGCTTGCTTGACACATTTAGTTATACATAATGAATTTCCATAGCAGCATCGTATTTCATAACCAGTTTCTAACTTGGCATATTCAAACTTGATATTGATATTTGTTTTTTACATTTCTAAATATAATTCCTTGTCATGTTTGTGAACATTGTTATGCTAATATCATATCGTTATGAAATCCCACACAAGACATGGTCAAAGATGAGCCACAAACAAAAGTCTTATATCTTTAATGTACTTTTAATGACTTGGTTTTAAACAATAATCATTACAGAAGAATAATTTATAAATTGAAGTAATCATAGCAAATAAAAGTGATATAATTTTTTTTGTCAAACATCAATGAAATAGGCCACTTGAGACTGGCAATTGGTTGCCAAAACCCAGTGTTTGTTAACTTTTAACATAAGGCATGCACTTTTCCATTCTCAGTATGGTCATGTACATTCATTTATTCACTATATAATGTACACAAAATGGTTATGGTCATAATAGTATGGCAAGCACTGTATGTGTATGTCCAGCAAACAAACTGGCTCATATCCACAACATCATTCTGTTCTGGTGTTTACTTATAAAGATTTTCTGATGCCTTTCATCCATTTGTATTTAACTGTGATTCCTTTTTATTTGGCCTGTTGCTTTGTATAAATTAATGGCTAAATTGTGTCTTTGTTGTAGATCACTGAGCGCGACCGTGAAATAGAAAGACTTCAGCAACAACTACGAGCCATAGAAGAACGGCGGTTATTAGAAATAGCTCCTCCCAAGGAGCGTCTAGAAGAAGTTGCCTCTTTCCTTCCTCCTCCAGCAGCAAAAGCAGAAAAAGACAGAGATGTGCCAACATCCAAACCAATGGAGCCAGAAAAAATGCCTGCTCTACCAATACTGGAAAAAGAAAAAAAGATTCCTCCTCAAAAGATGGAGAAAGAAAAAGAAGTGCCTCTGAAAGATGTGAAAGAAAAAGTGATTGAAAAGAGAGACTCTGAGACAAAGCAGTTAGAAGCGGAATCAACAATGCCTGATATATTATGTGCAGAACGGATTGCCATGGTAACGCCAATGACATCAGAAGGAGATGCTGCTGAGATCAAAGTAACTGATAAGTATAGGGAGTTGACAGAAGATCCATCAAGTCATTCTGAGTACCAAGTGATAGTAGACAAAACCAAAGATCCTATGCAGGCAGAGAATGTTAAGGCAATAGATGATAGCAATGCAGTTGCCATGGCTTCTGGCGATAGTATGGAGCAAGCTGATGTTACCAAGAAGACAGATGAAGAGAGAGATAATGAGATCATTGCTGAACTGGAAACAGAGGCCAGCAATAAAAGTGCGAAAGGAAAAATTCTTTCACAGATCAGTGAGACAGAGATTGAGGAGTTGTCTACACTTGATGCTGGTATAATTGCAGAAAGTAGTGACATCATCAGACCAGATGCTGAAGTGGACAATTTATCAGACAGTGGCTCAGATGATTTTGTCGTTTTAAAGGAAGAACCAGAAGAAGAAAAAGATTTATTGTCAGCAATTTATCCTATTCCTGAAAATGTTGGTAATGTGGGTCACGATGATAGTGTTATAAGTCTAGATTAGTGTTCTCATTAAAATTAAATATGTCATACAGGTATGGTATCACAAAACATCTTTTACTGATCAATTTAATTTTTGGTTTGCAATAAAATTCTTTTTCCCCATCTTCAGTAAACAAAATCAACTCCAGATTCTGACAGTATTATAATTCTGTTTGGATATTTCTAGACTGATTTAACTAACATTATGATGAATATAATATGATGATGGACTGGTCTTCTCTTTTGACAAATAAATTTAAAAAGTAATAAATAAATTGTAAAAATAATATATTTATAGAATGCATTTGTTTCCGTATTTCAGCATTGTATACAAATTTGTTGTGATTGTCTCGGTGCTCAGTTCATACTTATTAATTTGATGCAATACAATTCATTGTGCATTTATGTCATGTACTGAGGGAAATGTTTGATGGCAGCCAAATTGATGGCAGAAGTGTGTGCATATTGCACTCGACACACTTTATGAATGGGCTTGATTAGATGCTTATGTATAAATAATGTCGCTACAATGTTGAGAATGAGGAAAATGTAGCCATGTAATTGTGAGAAAAACATTTTCACACTTATATCATACATATTAACAATTTGCCATCTGTAGTGCATAGTATTTACATTTCTAATTAATTCTATTTTTGCTAATTTAAAATTTGGATCAAAATTGCGAGTAATCAGTGTGAAATTTTTTTCTATATGATCAGCTTCTAAAGGACGGTGGTGTATTCAACTTTTGTGTGAACAAACATACCTTGTACACGTCCGATGGGACCCACATCACACTTAATATCATGGTAAACCAGTCATTTAATTGAGCTGACTATAGAGGGCGCTGTGGACTTAATGAACTTAATACATTAGTTGAGTTTCAAGTTCCCTGCTTGCTATTTTAATGAACATGCAGTAGGGCGGTAACTTTCTCGAAAAAAATGTTGGGGGGGGGCACCCGAAAATCAAGCTAAAACCCTTTGTGCAGCAAAATTTGCCCCTAAAATGCAGGAAATGGAGATTCAGGTCTAGATTTCAGATCTCCCCCCTCATGCAAAATCTCTTGTCGTCGCCTCTGACATGTTTATGACAAACAAGAGGGGGGTGATTTTTAATAATCATTTGTTCAAGAACCTGTTCACCTCATTTTTTCACAAGTAACATTCTTGTATACTGCACCCCAGAAATATCCCACATATGCATTTTTTAATATCAATTGTATTGTGTTTGTGAATGAAAAACACTTTTTCCATTCTGCAATACAGAATCTACAGCTTTGTACAAAGCTAAAGCTTATAGACTAAAATATCTGCCTAAACTGCACAATACTGATTAGTGGAAGTGAAACAATTTCAGTTGACACAATACCCCCTCTATCCTCTTATATCACATATGCATGGTGTAACTGAGCAACCAGCGAACCACAAACTTGTCTATTTTATTTATCTGTATTTTGGAATTCAAAGTGTTACAACAGATCTTTATAGTTGTTTTATTTTTAATTATTTTTTTCTGGATATATATTTTTGGATCATTACAGTGTTTGAATTTTGTTTAAAACAATGTATATTATATGTGTTGTGTACTTAGCATGGTACTCGTATAGAACATGAAAAAGGCAACATATACTACAAGTTCTAATCTTTATTTACATACAATTTTTATGCTGATTATCTTATAAACATTTGTGCCTTGTGTTTGACTGGCACTAAGTGTGTGGAATTATGTCATATTCACGGTACATTTACTGAAGTATTACACAATCAATTCTGAGCGGTGTGTGTTGGGGTGAGGGTAGTTGTTGAATTGTGTACCCTAAGGGGTGGGTCATTAAAAACTCAACGTGGGGAGATGACAGAAAACTGAGCAAGATATTTTTCTTTTCCTTCATTTAATTTTGTGATATTTTCCCTAAGATTTAGGCTTGCAGAATTTTTTTTTTTCTGTTAAGTGGTCCCTGGTGGATTTTTTCCTGTGCACATTTTTTTTTTATTCTGCCGCCCCACATATGATTTTCATGTCTAAAAAATTGTCTTCTTGTTATATTTACATTTATAAACACAACACACTGTACATTTACATCTATGTAGAGTTTCACTCAAGCAATCAAGGAAAACATTGGTAGAAATATATATGGATACTGTGAATTTATAGTTTGACAAAGCCATACATGTTATTAAAGTAATAACTTGGAGAAGTTCTTGAAAACTGTGTACAGAGTATTCTGTGTTTTTTAGTACTTGAGAAACAGAAATCCAAATGCATATTTTGTGGCGAGAAAAGATAGATAATGTGCAAAGTTTTTTCTCGGAACAGGTTAAGTGTTGACCATTTGAAACATACACAAGTTTCACTGGATATTACTAACATGCAATTATCTGTTTTTTTATGATGCATTATGGGTAATTAAGATATCGGTACTGGTACTACTGGGCTCATTGCACAAAATGCTCTTCTAGACTTCAACCAAAAATATATTCTTTATATAGTACTCTTAACAGATAATATTCAATGAATGATTTAATGATACATTTATATTAAATGAATTGTGCAATCTGACAAAACATACTGTCTTTGCAAGAGACAGAGGAACCATTTGGTCTTACTTGTAATTTGCATCCAATATGAATATTAAAATATTTCAATACTGTTCAAATATTGCCTTTATGTAATAATTCCAGATTTTATCAGAAATAAACTAGAATTACTTTTATATATGTATTTTTACCATGCCATAATTTTTTCCTTCAAATATTTTGGTACAATATTTTCGATTTCATACACAACTTTTTAATTTTTTTGGGGAAAAATATGAATTAAATCGGGTATTTTTACTTTGCTGTTCAAAGAATTCACCTCCATGTGTATCACATTCATCTCTTAAATGAAGCAGAATTTAATATTTCTATGTTCTTGCCTTTTGTTCGATCCTAAAGTTGACAAGAATTTGGACATTATAGTTTTTAAAATTCAAATAGATCCACTTATTGAAATGTGGTGATGCATTGAATAAAATTATTCCTTGTCTTGAACAGGTACACAAACCATCTCAAAGCATTTATGATTTAGCAGCCATTCAATAGATATTACATGCAAAGGCCCATCAAGATGTAAAGCCATATTACAAGTTTTTCTCCTCAATGTTCCAATCATTGTTAAGTACTTTGGCTACATATACAAGTTGCATAGCTTTCTGGCTGAAGTTCTCTGACTATTTTGTGTCTGCGAAAAATTTTTTTTTACCATTAATCTCGTTTCTAGAAAAGGTCTTAAAAACTGAAAATCCAAATATAGTATGTGAGCCCAGAATTGCATAGAATGCAAAACGCATGTATATACTGCAAAATCACTTTAATTTCACAGTTATCTTACAATCAACTGTCTTGATAATTAGTCTCATCCCAACACACACTTGAGCTAATAAATGAAATACTGAGTGTTTAATAAGGTTAATTTATTTAGTATAACTGACAAATTCCAAAACTTCTCGGCTAAAATTTTTTTAACAGCTTTCAATATTGCCAGACCATACATTCACAAAAATTCCATTAACACCTCTTTTTAGAGGACTGTCTGGAAAACAATTTTATTCACAGACAAAGTCTTCACAAGTTAATGTATTCACTAGGTGCAGATTGAAATAATTGTTACTATCTTAACAATATTATACTCATTTCACAATTTGCATGATTTTTTTAAACAAGATCTTTATCGCATTAATATCAGTTGTATAAACTTAGAAATCATTACTATGAAAATTTTCATACCACATTTTGTTTTATACGAGTGCTTGTGCAACATGAAAAGCACAGAGAACTCACTAATGACAGAGTAATGGGGTAGCTAAGGGGTAAGTATTGGGATACCCATTAGACTATAGTCTAAAGCTTTCGGGAAAACAACCCTCAACAGCTTTATCAGTTATTCCTCCTATTGAGAGTATTATTGTCTAAATGAATTCCAAATGATTTCTTGAATCCTCATTGTTATTTAATGGTTATTTGGCAAAATGTTGTCATCATGAATGCTACTTTGATTCTGAAAAAGGCACAGGTGATAATTATACATGGCAGTGTTGTAACGCAACGTAATGATTTTCTGAATGTCCATAATATGCAATCCTTGTATTCTGGTTACTTTTGACAATGTGGTCGTAATCGCAAAATAAATCAACATTTCATGGTTTGTTAGGAAGTATAGTAATTTTTATTTCAGACATCTGTTAAAACGTGTTAATGTCATGAAGCTGCATATAAGTGAAGCACCATTTCTAATTCTCTCAACATCAACTCGTCTATGCTCTCAAGTTTGTTTTTCCACTGTCCCAGCTGATTCCTACAAAATTTGTAAAGTCATACATTGAATTTACACAAATGTAGTCCAAAATTCATGTTAATCTCCAGAAACTAAAATGAACACAATTTTGACTATCGACACAACTAACCCAGTCTCTTCATTTATATAAACATTTATAAATTTCACATTTCAAACTGAAATGAGATTTCTAGTGCACCATGTTCATTGAATGGCTGATTCAACTGCAATTGAAATTTATTAAATAAAAGGAATAGGTTTGTTGTGCTGATAGTAATCATCTGAGGGTAAACTGAACTAGTAACAATAGTGTGTTCATTGAGCAGTGTTCATCTATGCAAAGACAGCACACTATGAAGTCTTGAATACAAGCTCAAAAATTAAGTTTCCCACGTTAGTCTTTTGCATTTAAAAGCGAGGCAGCAGATATACGAGAAACACTGCAATACCAGATTTTAATACTAAACTTGTATAGTGATTTTTTTCCTTGCTTGAGGCAAATGAAAACTTAATACACTGATTTAATAAATATTAAATTCTAGCGTCACTCGTGTGATACCCTCATGTGATACATGCAACTCTGTGTTATAATTATCCCAACCCTGCATAGAACTTGAATCACGCATTAAACCGCGCAAATCTGCTTTAAGTGGCATTCATTTCCAAGGAATGTTTATGTACAGCGTTAACGAACGCTTCAACATGTTCAGGATCAGCGGTCGGATAAATCCCATGGCCGAGATTAGCGATATATTTCTGGGTGCCAAACTCTGATATCATCTTCTTCACAGAGTTACTGATTTCTTCCTTACTAGAATGGATAGCACATGGATCAAGATTGCCTTGTAGAGATACTCTATCTGCTACTTCTTGTCTGCAAGAAAGCATATTTTAAACTGTTGTACTTTCCGATGTTAATTTATTTGGATGGGCTGCATGGTGTAGGAGAATTCAACCAGGTTACATGTACCAGGGTAGCTCTTCATTGGGCAAGAGTGAAATACAAACTTGACAAGAAACATTTAATACGTTTTATTTTTGGATATGAATATTTATGATTAGTCAGAAGTAAAATACTCGCACATGCTCAGTATCTTGGGAACTATAAGACAATTTATTACAAACAATATTTATTTGGTTAAAAATGAACCCAGAGTTTACTGATATCAGTATGACTTGACTGTGTTAGTTTTTGAAAGAGCTGTTGTGGTATAATCGGCATGGATACACATAATCATGTTGTCATGACTACAATAAACTGAGAATTGATGAGAGTTCCAGAAAACTAGTGCAATAAATTCACACAACCATAAAAACATACTTAGTTGGTTGATAAGTGTTATGCTGGCTCCAATCTGTACCCATAATGCAGCAAGTCAGAGGGATGAACCATTATTTCTTCTGGCGTGATTATGTTAAATTTTTTGTGCACATGGGGAAAAAGTGCTGATTTTATTTCTCAGCAAATATTCTGTTCATTTACATTCCTCTCCAATGTACTACCCTCCCCTCACAAAAAAATGATCCACTCTCAACAATTGTAAAATTAACTCTTTGGTACATTTTAGTTAAACAGTTTGAAACCATGGTTTCAGAGAGTACATACCTAGCACACTTAGGTTTCACAGTCCAGTCTATACTAACAACGTCATAGTTACTCTGGGACAATTCACTCAATGCATAATGAGCACCTTTAGCAAAGATTATCTAGAAAGTAAAAAGTTAGGTGGTTATAAAGAATAAAGGGAGTTTATTTTTTGATCTTATGACCTAAAGAGTTACTATTTTTGATAAATTAATGTGTTTCTTACATACTTGTACAAAGTTGAGCAGGATGCAGTTTGAGAGTTAGGCAGTGTGATAGTCAAGAGAGAATTATAGACCACGTAACGGTAAGTATATATGAAAGAAAGGCAGGGTGCAGTGCGACAGTCAGGTGACGACAGTCAGTGAGAATCAGGTGGCAGGCAGTGAGAGAATCAGGTGGCAGGCA